AACCATTTACTGAGCCCCTAGTAACGAGGCAGCTGGAGAAGCTTTGGAAATTTTCAGGAGTGTCAATTTAACCAATGGTAAGTCATTTAAATAATTTTCTTTTTTTTAAATATATTTTTTATTTATTTCAGAGAGGAAGGTAAAGGGAGATAGAAATAAAAACATCAATGATGAGAGCGAATCATTTATCTGCTGCCTTCTGCACACCCCCTATCAGGGCTGAACCCACAACCCCGGGCATGTGCCCTGATGGGGAATCAAACCATGACCTCTTCGGTCCTGGGTGGATGCTCAACCACTGAGCCACACTGGCCCGGCAGAGGTTCACAATTCAGATGGTTACTTTGGTCCGAAGAAAACCTTTTGCTTGGCAAAATGTTAATTATTTTAACATCAGTTATTTCATATATGCAGATGCAAGGGCCCTGCTTCAAAGCCCATTGGATTCATATAGTCACTGGTTTTTTTCTCTGTCAGTATTTCTCACACTCTCGAGACCCAAGCCGAAGACAGCTTTTTAGTTCCCTCCCCCTGGCTTCCTTTTCCCTCAGCCTATCATACACATGAACTTACCTTTCCAAGAAGCAGCACTTCCCCAAAGGTCTACTGTGGGCTGCTATGCAACGATGAAGTGGGATCTTGAAGCATGAAGAGGTTTTGGGAAACTGAGGAACTGTGGACTACGGGTGGAAGTGGCTCAGAGGTTGAGGCTCCACCTAGGAACCAGGAGGTTATGGTTCGATTCCCAGTCAGGGCACATGCCTGTGTTGTAGGCTCCTTCTCCAGTAGGGGCCGCGCAGGAAGCAGCCAATCAATGATTCTCTCTCATCATTGATGTTTCAGTGTCTCTCCCTCTCCCTTCTCTGAAATCTATAAAACTATATTTTTTTAAAAAATGAACTGTGGCCCTAGCCGATTTGGCTCAGTAGATAGAGCATCGGCCTGGGGACTGAAGGTTACCCTGTTCAATTCCGGTCAAGGGCACATGCCAGGGGTTGTGTGCTCGATCCCCAGTAGGAGGAGTGCAGGAGGCAGCCAATCAATGATTCTCATCCCACTGCCATTTCAATCCCTCTCCCTTCTCAGAAATTAATGAAAAAATATTTTTTAAAAAATTGTGGACAAGGATTGGGTGGAATATTTTGGTAATGGAACAGTCCAACCCAGTTAGCATACTTGACTCACCAAGTGGTATTTGCAATAAGTGCTCGTCACTTTTTCATTTCCCAGCCACAGGTACCTAAGACAGAGTGTTCCTTAAATGTCAGACTTCTGACAGAAAATTGTGCCCCCAAGTGGTTCACATCAGAATCAGACAGGCTCCTGAACCATTAAACTGAGAAGCCAGACCTTGCTTGAGAGACACGTTACTAAGAGTAAAGAAAAAGGTACATTTTGTAGCATATGAAGGAATAGTTGGAATATATGACCCAGAATGAAAAAAAACAAAACAATGGCACCTTAAAATAAAGAGAATATATGGTGCCAGGTGGGTACTGGAAATATCAGGGGGTACACTTTATAAAGTATATGATTGTCTAACTACTACGCTGTACACCTGAAACTAATACAAAATAATATTGAATGTAATTTAAAAAAATAACAAAACAAATAGAAAAAATAAGTCTTCAAGGTTTTGACTTACAGTATTATTCACTTTAAAGAAAAGCTAATTGGCCAATAAATTGTCAAAGAACTTCTAGGCCTTAATGCATTGTTTTGAGAAATCTTTCATTCCAAACATGTTTTTCTATTTCTTAAATTTAACAAAAATCCATATGTCTGCACTCAAGAAGCCCTTACTACAATCAAAATAGTCACCATAACCATCACCTTCAAAGGTTTCTTTGTGCCCTAGCCAGTTTGGTTCAGTGGATAGAGCATTGGCCTGTGAACTTGGGTTCGATTCTGGTCATGACCGGGTTGCAGGCTCAATCCCCAATACAGGGTGTGCAGGAGGCAGCCAATCAATGATTCTTTCTCATCATAGATATTTCTATCTCCCTCTTCCTTCCTCTCTGAAATCAATAAAATTATATATTTTTTAAAAGTTTCTTTATTTTCCTATGTATTGCTTTTCTCTTTACCCAGCCCCACCCTTATCCGTAGGCAACACTAATTTGCTTTCTCTCACTATAGATTAATTTGCATTTTGCTGAATCTTATTTAAATGGAAACATACACTGTATTCTATTTTTTGTCCTTTCTTTTAAATCCTCACCCAAGGAGTGAGGATATTTTTCCCATTGATTTTTAGAGAGAGTGGAAGGGACGGGGGAGGAGGGAGAGAGAGAGAAAAAAAACATCTATGTGAGAGACACATCAATTGGTTGTCTCCCACACACACCCCAACCCCAGGGGTGGGGATAGAACCTGCAATCCAGACACCAGCCCCTGACTGGGAATCAAACCCGAGACCCTCAAACCAATGAGCCACACTGGCCAGGGCTTTCCCCCCCCTTTTTTAGCACAGCATAATTATTTTGAGAATTACTCATCCTGTTATTTTAACCAATAATTCATTTCTTTCTGTTGTTCTGTATTTCATTGTTTCATTATTTGGGTTGTTTTTAGTTTTTGACTACAAATAAAGCTGCTATGAATATTTATGTATAAGTCTTTGTGTGGACCTATGCTTTCATTTCTCTTAGATAAAAATTTAAGAACAGCAGTAGGGCGTGTTAACAGTTTAAGAAACTGACAAAGTGTTTCCAAATATCCATAATCACATATACTCTGATTGCATACTTACAGAGCCTTTAGTCAATATTTTTATTTTGAGCCATTGTAATGCGTGTGTTGTGGTCTATCACTTTAATTTTAATTAACATGTCATTAATTACTAATAATATTGAGCATCTTTTCAAGGGTTTAATTGCCATCCATTTATTTTATTTGGTGAAGTTTCTGTTAAAATATCCATTATAATTGTGTTGTTTACATCTTATTAATTTTCAAAAGTTCTTTACATATTTGAATTACAGGACTATTGGTGATTATATTTTGTATATATTTTCTCATTATGTGTTTTACCTTTCATTTTCCTAAAGTGTATTTTTATTTTTGTATTTTAAAAAAATTTATTTTATTTTATCGATATCAGAGAGGAGGGGAGAGGGAGAGAGAGATAGAAACATCAATGATGATAAAGAATCATTGATCGGCTGCCTCCTGCATGCCCCCTACTAGGGATGGAGTCCAAAACCTGAGCATGTGCCCCTGACCGGAATGGAACCCGGGACCCTTCAGTCAGCAGGCCAATGCTCTATTTACTGAGCCAAACCAGCTAGGGCCTAAAGTGTATTTTTAGAACAAACTTTTTCAGTTTGGATTGAAGTCCAATTTATTGATTTTGTGTAATATACTACATGTTTTTGATTGCTTATTTAAGAGATTTTTTTGTCAAATCCAATTTCACTTCGATTTTGTCCTGCCCTTTCTTCTAGAAATGTTACAATGTTAGTTCTTACATTTAATTCCAATGTCCATTTCTAGTTCATTTTTGCATATGGTGTAAGGTAAGGTTTAAGGGTCATTTCTTTTAACTTATGGGTATCCAATTGTTCCAGCACCAGTTCCTGATAACATTATCCTTCCTCCGTTTAAATTAGTTTTGCACCTTGGTTGACAATCAATTGACTGTATCCATGTAGGTCTGTTTCTGGATTCTCTCTTCTGCTAAATTGATCTGTGTCCCTATACTTTGTGCCAATGCCACACTTCCTTGAATTCTGTAGCTTCATGATAAGTCTTGCAACCTGGCAGTCAATGTAAGTACTAAAATGTCACTATTCATATTCAAACTAACTTTGAATATTCTAAGTCCTATGTACTAATATTTCCATATAAGTCTTAGAAATAGCTTGAGGGAGTGGCAGATTACCCAGTGCCCGGAAAAATGGAGCTCGAGGCCATGAGCAGATATACCACCCCCATGAACCCAGCTGTCTTCCCCCATCTGCCCTGGTGCTTTTGGCCATTGGCATGTTCTTCACCGCCTGGTTCTTCGTTTATGGGGTCATGTCCACCAAGTACACTCGGGACATCTACAAGGAGCTCCTCATGTCCTTGGTGGCCTGTTCTTCATGGGCTTTGGTGCTACGGCCAAAGGGCTTGCTCGGACTCAGGCCCTGGTCCCAGAACTCAGTCCCTGGTCGGGCACCATTTGTGATCCCAAGTGGGGGAGTGAAAGGATTAAGGAAAGACAGACAAGAGAATAATAGCTGGGTCTCGGTAGGACGCTGCCTCCCTGATGAGGAGACAACGCCAGCGCCCACAAGCTGTGTCTTTATTTTATAGCAGATGCCACAAGGCAAAGTAGGGGCATGATCACGTTGTTTACAGCATTCTCGTGAGTTCCAATCTTGCACGTGGCAATGAGAGGACCCTGTCCTTTCATTAGTCCGAGGCTTGAACCTGGCCAGAACACCGTAACCGCGCCCCACACTTTGGGTCCTCTTCCTGCTGCTCTGGGTTGGCATCTAGGTATGAGTTCCCGTGGGCTCCAACCAGGCAGCTGCTGAATCCCTACTTTTGTAAATTATTTTTTTTTACTGTTGTGGGAGGTGTCCTGCCTGCTGCTCACACTAAAGGCAGATGTGTGACAAAAAGAAAAAAAGAAAGAAATAGCTTGAATTGTTGCCTTACCTATAAAGATAAAAATGGCATCTGTTGTCTTATCAGAAAAAAAGTGTCTTAGTCCATTTGTTTTGCTATAATAATATACCACAGACTGGGTGGTTTAGAAACAACAAATATTTATCACAGCTCTGAAAACTCGAAGTTGGAGATCAGGATTCTACTAAGGTTGGGTGAGACTTAGGTTGTGCAGACTTCTATCCACACAGAATGGAAGGAGCTAAGAAACTCTCTGGGGAGCTTTTTATAAAAGCAAACAAACCTAATACAATTCATGCAAGCTCCACCCTCATGACCTAATCACCTTTCAAGGCCTAGCCTACTATCATTACCTTGGTGGTTAGAATTTTTTTTTAACAAATACTTTTAAAATTTCTTTATTATTTTTATTGATTTCAGAGAGGAAGGGAGAAGTAGAGAGGGACAGAAACATCAATGGTGAAAGAGACTCATAGATCGGCTGCCTTCTGCATGCCCCTCACTGGGGATGGAGCCCACAACCTGAGCATGTGCCCTGACTGGGAATCGAACCGTGACTTCCTGGTTCATAGGTTGATATTCAACCACTGAGCCACACCTGCCTGAGATAGAATTTTAACATGAATTTGGGGGCAGGGAAACTAACATAAACAGCATTTGAGGGGCGGTAACATCTTTGAAAGCTGCACCAGTTAGTTGGACAGACTGGCCCTCTCTTCCTACATCAGGGACTATTTGGAAGACATGTCTTTAAAGAAATAATTTTGACCGAACCGATTTGGCTCAGTGGATAGAGCGTCGGCCTGCGGGCTCAAGGGCCCCGGGTTCGATTCCAGTCAAGGGCATGTACCTTGGTTGTGGGCACATCCCCAGTAGGAGGTGTGCAGGAGGCAGCTGATCAATCTCTCTCATCGATGTTTCTGACTTTCTATCCCTCTCCCTTCTTCTCTGTAAAAAAATAATAAAATATATTTTTTAAAAAAGAAATAATTTTGTTTGTCTTATTGGCTTCTATTTTGAAATAAATGTCACCTTAAATACTCTGCAGACAAGCAGAACAAACTCTGACAAAATAAAAAAGTAAGCCAAATATAAACACAAAAAGGAAAATGTGAAGATACTTCAAAATTATTCATATCTGGATATCCATAGGAATAACTGGGATCTATAGAAATACATTTTATTTTATTTATTTGTTTTTATTTAATCAATTGGGGTGACACTGGTTAACAAAATTATACAGGTTTCAGGTGCACAATTCTACAACACATCACCTGTACATTGTATTGTGTGTTCACCACCCCAACCTGCTCTCTGAGTCTGTTCCTATGTTGCTTGGTAATTCATTTTGTTCATGAGTGAAATCATATGGTAATGGTTTTTCTCTGATTGGCTTATTTCACTTAGCATAATGCTCTCCAGGCCCATCCATGCTGTCGCAAAGGGTAGAAATTTTTTTTTTTTTTACTGCCATGTAGTATTCCATTGTGTAAATGTACCACAGCTTGTTTATCTACTCATCTACTGATGGGCACTTGGGCTGCTTCTAGATTACAGTATCTATTTAACCATTTAAAAATTATTTCTTTGGTTTTTACAAGCAATAAAAACATTTATTTGCATGTATTTATTTATATGTAATCTATAATATTGTTTCTAACATTATGTATTTACTAGAGACCTGGTGCATGAAATTCATGCATGGGAGGGGGGGTCCCCCAGCCCAGCCTGCACCCTCTCTAATCTGGGACCCCTTGGGGGATGTCCAACTGCCTCTCACAATCTGGGACCACTGGCTCCTGACTGCCTGCCTGCCTGCCT